AATAATAGCTGTCTCCAAGAATTTGCAAAGCTGTTACATAGACGGAGGATTAATCGGTTCTGTTGGGCCCCACAGGGCACAACTAGGAGGAGTGGGAGCAAGTTGGACTTGAGGTTTACAGTGAGAGCTATCTCAAAGCCCAATGAGCCACCTCAAGAGGTGGTGAGTTCCCCTTCACTGGAGGACCTCAAGCAGAAGCTGGACTTGTCTGGCATGCTAGCGTGAGGATTTCTTTCATGTGTGCATTAGAATAGATGACTGCTGTGGCCCCTCCCCTCTCGCAAATTCTCTGTATGAAGGATGGAAGAAAGGCAAGCCCAGGGAACTTATTTGCCCAAGATTACACAGTCAAGAAAGCTGGCAGCAGAACTGAGGTCTCCCAGCTCTTTGTATGATTTATTTTTTTTTTAAGTATACTTTGCATCCTTGCTGGAATTCAAAGGGCAAATCTTGTTAGATCAAATGTTATTATCAAAATCACTACTTTTTTTTATTTTTAGGCAATTGGGGTTAAGTGACTTGCCCAGGGTCACACAGCTACTTAGTGTCAAGTGTTTGGTCTGAGGCCAGATTTTAACTGAGGTCCTCCTGACTTCAGGGCCGGTGCTCTCTCCACTGGGCCACCTAACTGCCCTCCCATCCATTTATTTCTAAAAGTGCTTGACAAAAGCAAATCAAGAACAAAATGTTACCATTCCCTGGAGTTCATTGAAAAGAAGTTTTGCCTATAAAGAGGGAAAACAGTAAGTGAAACCTCGAAATAGTTAGAATATCTTGTTGTAAATTGTATATAAGCAGAGAAGAGTTAAAATTTTCTTAAAGAATACTTTTTTTAAAAGAAAAAGAAAAATCCTTTAGTTCTCTGTTCCCTTTAAGAAAGAGTACCAATGGTTCTATCATCTTATCAGTCAATCAATAACCAATCAATTTTTCTACTATGTGCTAGGAATTAGGGGATAGAAAGACAAAATGTAAATAGTGCCTACCCTCAGAAGGAGTTTGTGTTGGGTGTATACAAGGGATATGTGTGTGTAAAGGTGACCATATATATATATATATATATATATATATATATATATATATATGTATAGACAAAATAAGTATAAAGGTAACCTTGGGGAAGAAGGTGGTGTGTATAACAAAAGCTTTATGGATAAAGTAATGCTTGATCTGACTCTTGAAGTAAACCAGGTAAATTCTAAGAAGTGGAGGTGAAGAGGGAGATCATTCTAAGCAGGAGGAACAGCCCAGTCAGTTAATAAACATTTATTGATAGACACACTATGCGTCAGGCACTATGCTAAGCACTGAGGAGACAAAGAAAGGCAAAAGCCAGTCTGGGCTTTCAAGGAGTTCACAGTCCAGTGGGGGAGACCTCATACAAACAACTATTTACAGACAAGCTATTTCCTGGATAAGTTAGAAATAATCAGTAGAAGGAAGGCACTAGAATTAAGGAAGATCAGAAAAGGCTTCTTGTAGAGGTGGGATTTTAGCCAGAGTAAAGGGCAGGGAGATGAAGATGGAGGAATACCAGGCAGACAAGTGGGTCTGGACCTTAGAGTGTGTGGAGGAGGTGGAAACGCAGGATGGGGGCAAGCCGTGAAGACCTTTGACTATCAAAAAGAGGAGCTTATATTTAATCTTGGAGGGAATAGGGAGCCACTGGAGTTTAATGAATAAGGAGATTGATGTGGTTAGACCTCCACCTTAGGAAAATGACTTTGGCAGCTGTGTGAAAGATAGATTGGAATGAGGAAAGACTGGAGGCACATAAACTATTACCCACTGGTTATCATTTTGTCTTGCTATATAATGGGTCCACTTCCTTTTCTGGTCATTCATCTGTTTGATGAGATCCTTGATGCTGCTTTTCCTGTGTACTTCTTCCATGAGAATAGCTTGCATCCTGCTCGCTCACATCCTCCATTAACCTTGTCATTGCCTTTTGGATGACTTGTAGTTTGAATTCTTCAGAGACTAAAATAGTGTTCTTTGATTAGAAGTCATGGAGTATTATTTGGAGAATATTACAGTTAAAGAGATGCAGAGCAATTTTAATACTAGCCTAAGCAAAACACAGTTAGGAAGGTAGATGCTTCCTTGAAATAAATCAATGTCATCAAATACATGCGATTTTGGGGGGGGGCAACCCACATGACTACTGCTATCCATTTGAGAGCAATAAAGGCACCTACAGGGAAGAATTGAATTAAAGGAATCAAAAGAAGATTTTGTAGCTTTACAGGCAGAGGACTAAGGCTGAATGAGTAAGGAGTAATAGTAACGAATAAAGTGATTTCCTAGAATTAATGAATTTACAAAATGTTCTGGTGAAGCAGATCACTGTTTTCTATGAGGCCCTCCTTCCCGCTGCCACCTGGGGCCTATGTTCACAAACTCAGTAGCTACTTGAAGAGGGAATCAGATCTGGGAGGAAAGGCCTAGATTTTAGATCGTGAGATGCTGCTCGACTTTTTTGTTGGAGAAAAAGAAAAATGAAGGAACATGCCCAACCAAGGTCATTTAGCAAATTAGAGAAATTGCTGGGAGGAGAACTTGTACAATCCTGACTGATCCTCAGTCCTATTTGGGTGGCATTCACACTTAGCAGGCTCCTCTATTGCTGCCAAGATCATAGGCAGCAGAAGGATTGCCCTGGCACAATCAGCCACAAAAGGGTAAGTAACAGAAACCAACAAACAGTAGAGATGGGCTGATTCTCTTTGAGTGATCCCCTAAGTGCCTGTTCCTCACTTTGCTTTATCAGCTCTTAGAAGTTTGCTATCTCTACTCCTTCCCCCTCCATTACAGTAATACTACAGCTCAATTCACTTCTCAGGACCAGAGCTCTCTTTCCCATCCACCATCCCAAGACCCGTCCAATGAAACAGCCAAGATGGAGCAAACTAGGCGATTTGGGGATAGTCCAGTCTCAACTGGCCACATAGCTCATATGCAGCACACACATTATGCAAAGACCTTGTATTAGGGAGACTGAGAATATTTGTAGGATTGTGAAAAGAGCAGAGGATCAAGATGATTGACTTTTACTTAATTCTATATCCTTGGACCAATCCCTAAATTTCTGTGTTATTGTTCAGTCATTTTAGTCATGTCCAACTCTTCATGATCCCATTCGGGGTTTTCTTGGTAGAAATATAACCAGTAAGTGTCTGAGACCAGATTTGAACTCAGGAAGTTGAGTCTTCCTGACTCTAGGCTAAACACTCTACCCACTGCAACACCTAGCTGCCCTTTAATTTCTCTGTCTTGTTTATTACTCTGTACGATGGGAGTAGAACTATTGAATGTTAAAGTTGAAATGTCCCTTAGTTCAACAATATCTTCTTATCTTACTTAAAAGTTTCTCATGAGGATTGAATGAATTGTTTGTGAAAGTGCACTGAAAAATTAAGCATGTTACTTGAATGTAAGGTATTATTCTGGTGACATAGTGGACTGGTCTGGCTATATTATTGATAGATAGCGTAGTATGTTGTAGGAGGGTGAGGAATACTAAGGAAAGATAAAATTCAGTCTTGTTGTTCAGTTATGTCAGACTTTCCTGATCCCATTTGGGATTTTCCTGGCAAAGATACTGGATTGATTTGCCATCTCCTTCTTCAGCTCATCTTACAGATGAGGAAACTGAGGCAAACAGGGTGAAGTGACTTGCTCAGGGTGACACAGTTAGTAAATGTCTGAGATCATATTTAAACTCAGGTCTTCCTAACTCTAGCACTCTACCCTCTGAGCCACTCAGCTGCCTCCTGAGCTTAAATCTAGGTTTTTGAATGCAGGTTTTGGGCACTTCAGTAAATGCCACTGGACTGGCAGAAGGAGCTGTGGTTTAATAGAAGAACTGGGAGTGAGCAAATCTAGATTACTCTGGAATTAACTACTTGTACCATGTTGGGCAAGCTGCTTCACCTCTCAGTTGATAGTTTCCTTTCCTACAAAATGAGGAGGCAGGATTTATTTAAGATGACAATAATTCCCATAACTTCCTTTAAAAAAAAAACCCAGAACAATTGGCCTATGATTTCTTTGGTAAATGGAACTCTGGGAAAATTCCTTCTACCAATGTAGTCACCTGGTCTGCAATTTCTAATCTTAAAGTGTTGTCCGGGACACTAAGAGGTGAAGGGACTTACCCAAGGTCACACAGCTAGTATGTGTCGGAGAAGAACTTGAATCCAAGTCTTTCTGATTCCTAGGCCATCTCACAGGCTGTTTTAAAAACATTATATATTAAATTTATATGATGCTTAAAAATTTACAAAGCACTGTATACATATCATGTAAGTACCTAATTGCGTCTTGTCTTCCCCTTAGAATATGATTTCCTCGGAGGCTGGGATCCTGTTTTTGCTTCTCTTTGTTTCCACAATTTAATTATATTCCTGGCATATAGTAAGCAATTAATAAATGATTGTTGACTGACTGGATGTGATCTAATTTTCTCCTCACAACAATCTTGTGAGATCCACAATGTAAGTATTAATGTCTTTACTTCACAGATGGAGAAAGTGAGACTCAGATTTCAGAGAGTGACCAAAGCACAGACCCAGAGCTAATCACTGCATAAAACCCACGTTGGGGCCTCTGTGACCAAGGATTCAACATTCCCGCCTCTCATAGTCTAAGATTCTGACCCTGTAAAGGCCCGGAAAAAGCACCAGGCTGAGGGATTTCATGCCTCTTGCTCCCCTAATGCCTACCGAAACGAAAAAACCTCAGGACTCAAAATGAAGACCTTTCCACTCGTTGTACAAAGCACAATGTCTCCGCCCCACTTCCCCTTCGCCAAACGGGAGCTCAAAGTTAGGAGCCAAGGCAGATAGATTCCCTTAGGGGAAGTTTGGGGTTTACCTGCCTCCTCCCTCTCTTCGCCTGCTCGTCTTCTCCCTTACCCTCCCTGGGCTCCCGGCCCAGCCCGCCCCAAGTGATGCAAGGTGCCCCCCAGCCCCGCCCCGCCTTGCCCTTCCCCTTCCCCTGCCTGGCCCGCCCCGCTCCGCTCTGCAGCCCAGACAGCGTCCTGTCCCGGGGCGCGCTGGGGAGCCCTGAGAGCTTGCGGAGAGCGGCCAGGAGGGGGACCGAGGAGCCGCTGCGAGGGGCGCAGGTGAGCGACTGGGGGAGCTAAAGGAGGTGGGGAGCTAGGCAAGGGGAAATGGGGTGGGAAAGCGAGGAAAAGCTCCCCGCCTTGCAGGGAAGGTCTCCCCAAAATTCTCGGTCAGTCTCGGATTCAATTTCCTTCTGCCCGGGCTGCCAGCAGCTCCGGCTCCGGCCCCACACTTCACCTTGCCCTTCCAGCTCTGGCTCAGTCCCAGACCTGCCCGGTCTGGAGCAGAAGAGATCAGACAGGAAAGGTTGGGGGTAGGGGTGCAGGGGCGGGGTAATGGGGTTCCCAGCGGCTGGGAGCCCGCTTGCCGAAGGTAGTGAAGGACTTTGGACGCTAGACCACTGGGGGAGGTGCGCGTGTTATTGGGGCTGAGGCTCGGGCTGCCCAGTTATGGTTGGGGGCCACAGCTAAAGCAGCTCTCGCTGGCCCTGGCAGGCTGTGAATGGGTGAATGCGCTTGGTATGCACCAGTCTTCATGCAGAATCGAACTTTTGGAAAGGGATGGGCACCCTGGGGGTGGGAAGAGGGATTCACTGGCTGCGCATCTGGAGAGTAGCTGGGAGTGGAGGGGTGAGGGGAGAGGGTACAGTAAGTTACAGTGAGAGTTTCTGGAGCTCTTGCAGTGCAGGCTGTGAAATGTAAATTTGACTCTCCATGGGGTTTCACTCTGGGTGGGTCATTCACTTGCTTCTCTGTCATTTTGTTGTAGATGAAGACGGTGGGGAAGTAATTGATTACTTTCAAAATTTTAAAAAATTAAATGTGCATTTATATTATAGAACTGAATTGCCGCTGAGATTGTCTGAAATCTTAGCGGGGAAAGAGCAATAGTTTCGGGGGGATACCAGCTTTCAAATCCTGACTCTGCCATTTGCTAACGACCTGGAAAACCCTGGGCAAATCAGTTAACCTCTCTGGGCCTCAGTTTCCTCATCTGTAAAATGAGGGAGTTGGATTAAATAATCTCCATTTCAACAAGTATTTATTAAGCACTCTGCTTCCTTCTCTCCTAGCCCCAGGCCCTGGGGATAAAAAGACCAACTCTAAATCAATGGTCCTTTGATCCTAAATTCTTTGCCTGAAAATTGAAGGACTTTTTTTTTTTTTTGAGCGATGAGGTATTCTGGCAGCACCATATTCGTCAATGATCCTCCATGACAATTTTACCATCCCCACCTGGCAATCCTCATTTTTCTCAGAAAGGAAAAACCAGGTGGGTGGGTGCACTTGGCAGCTACTTTAGGAGAATAGATTTTTTTTGGGTGGGTTTGAAGCCACTTTGTAAAGCTCTGGAAGGATATTAGTTTAGATCAAGAAGATAAGTCTTGAAATCTCTACTTTTCCCCCAAAGTCCTTGACTTTGTGACTCATAGGGAATACCAGGTCATAGTATGAACCTTGAAGATAGTCTGTTTCTTAGACAAAAATCCTCTTTGCCATCCCTTTCTTTGCTTCACAATGTCATGCAAAACAAAGAGGCACTTGATACCAAGGAGTTGTTTGAAGGGATTCCATATCTGAGTAATAATATCAGGATAGAGACTCAACCTACGATTTTGTTGGGGAAATGATCTCTTTTGCCATTGCAAGTTGGCATCTTTTTGCAATTTTTAGTCTTAGAGGTTTTTAATTTGATGTCTGTGAGCTTGTTTTGAAAAAATTGATAACAGTATTTCAATATAATTGGCTTTCTTTGTAATCCTACGCATTTTTTCCATTTAAATACATTATTCTGAGAAGCTGTCAATAAGATTCATTGGATTGCCAAAAGGGTCCATGACACAAAAAAAGTGAAGAACCGTTGGCTAAGACAGTTGCCTAAGACTTAAAGGTTAAGTGACTTGCCCAGGGTCGCATAGCCAGGCAGTGTCAGAGGCAGGACTTGAACCCATGTCTTCCTAACTTCAGGGCCAACACTCTAAGCACTACTTCTTTACGACTAATGCCTCTCATCAGTTCCTTAACAAGTGTTTATTTAAGGCTTATTATGTCCCATCTCTGCCAACACTAACATCCTCACTTGATGCTTCCTTGTGGCATGGAGGTTACTGACCTTGGATTTGCCCAGACTGTGTCAGCAGAAAGCAAGCTCTGGCTGGTCCTATGAAGCTGGAAAGGCCCAGTGGTGGACTGAATATCTCTCATCTGAGGACCAGGCTGGCTAGGTTTGGAGTGACTCATTACCAGAAGGTTAGCCATGGGGCAAAGGATTATTACCTATTACCACAGCAACTTGTGAAGACTGGCTTCTAAGACAGAGGGCTTATGATATGGAGAAAATGCCCATACTCACAAAATTACTGATCCTTTCAGTTGAAGAAGGAAGTACTGTATTATACTTGGTACTATGCTAGGAATGGGGGGGAAGGGTGGTAAATGCTTCACCCCCCCCAAAAAAAAAAAGCCTAACATGATTTATCTACAAAGAATCCATAAACTGGGTTATATTTCAAGACTATGTTTCTTTTATTTTTCAAATTCTTAGTTTTTCTCAACCTGACAAAGAACAGAAGGGTTAAATAACTTCAATTTAACTAGCATTTATTAAGCATTTATTATTTGCAGGCATTTCATTAGGTTCTGGGGATACAAAGACAAAAATGAAGTCATTTCTACCTTCAGAGAACTTGTATCTTTGGGGGGATATGGGGAAAAATATGTGTATGAAAGAATAAATATTACATGCAAACAGATACATATTCTCATTCTCTCTCTCCCCACTGTCCCTATCTTTTTCTCCCTCCACATGCGCACCCCATACCCATAAATAAAAAACAAAATAATTTTTGTAGGAGGTGGGTGGGGAAGACCATTACCAACCGAGGAGGATTGCCTAAGTTCTGGATTCATTTATCTCTTTGCAAATGATTCTCAGATTACTTTATCCATCCCTAACTTCTTGAATTCCAATCCCAAATCTCCAGTTGCCTCTTGGACATCTCAAACTGGGTATCCTGTAGACATCTGACACTCAGCATATCTGAAGCTAAAGTGATCTTTCTCCTTCAAGACCTTCTCCCTTACTGTTGAGCACATTACCATCCTTCCCCCTTACCAAGGCTTGAAATTTAGATGTCATCTACAATTTCTCTCTCTCTGTCTCTGTCTCCCCCTGTCCCAATATAATCAGTTGCCAAATCCTGTTGATTTTAGGCAGTTAGGTGTTGTAGTTGGATAGAGCACCAAGCCTGGAGTGAGGAAAACTCGTCTTTCTTGAGTTCAAATCTGGCATTAGTTACTTACTAACTGTGTAACCTTGGGCAAATCACTTATCCCTGTTTGCCTCAGTTACCTCATCTGTAAAATGAACTGAAAAAGGAAATGGCAAACCTCCCTAGTATCTCTGCCAAGAAAACCCCAAATGGAGTCACAAAGAGTTATACGCCACTCAACAACAGTTGATTCTACATTCTGGGCATCTTTTTGTATACACCTCCTTCTCTCCTCTGACACTATCACTATCCTGATGCAGGCCTTTATCACCTCGTACCTGGACTATTGCAATAGCCTTCTGGTTGGTCTCAGTGCCTAGGTCTCTCCCCATTCCAGTTCATCTTCCATTCAGTTGTCAGATCTTCCTAAAGCCCAGATCTGACCATGTGATCTCCCCACCCCCAATTTCAAACAACTCTTGTGACTCCCTATCCATTCAAGATCAAATTCAAAATCTTCTCTTTAGCTTTTAAAATCCTTCATAATCTGTCTCTTTTCTCAATTTTTGGTCTTTTTAAAAATACTTATTCTTCTCCATGTACCCTGTAACCCAAAGACACTGACTTCTTTGCTGTTCTTCAGACACAAGAATAACACTCCACCTCTGGAATCCAGCAATTTTCAATGGCTGTTCTCCATGTCTGGAATGCATTCCTATTTCATTTCTATTTCCTAGCTTCTGTGGATTCCCCATCTTCCTTCAAGTAAGTTCCAGCTAAAATCTCATCTCTTACAAGAAGTCTCTCCCAATCCCATTTAATTCTAGTGCCTTCCCTTTGTAATGATCTCTACGGGGCCTAGAATCAGGAAGATCTGAGTTCAAATCTGCCCTCAGATACGTCCTAGCTGTGTGACCCTGGGCAAGTCACTTAACCATGGTTTTTCCTCAGTTTCCCCAGCTGTAAAATGTGGATAATATGTTGTAGGGTATTGTAAGAATCAAGTGAGATAATATTTGTAAAAAAGCACTTAGTGCATTGCCTTGTACAAAATAGGCTCTATATAAATGCTTCTTTCGCTTCCCCTTCCCTTCCTCTTCTCCTTTCCCTTTCCCTTTTATCTGATATGTAACTTGTTTATTTATAGTCTCCCACATTAGACTGTAAGCTTCTTGTTTCTTGTCTTTCTTTGTATCCCCAGCAGTTGGCACAATGCCTGGTACATAGCAGTTTAATAAATACTGGCTGGTTGACTGCAGGATTGCAGGTGAGAAAGGAGTATACTCCACATGAGCACAAGCACCCCATCACATGCATGAGGGTGGAGAGATAGACTAATCAAACCCACAGAGGTGGGAGATGGAATGTTTTGTGTGACGAACAGTGAAAAAGCCACTTTGGTAGAAGTGTGGAGTCCAGGATAATGTTCAGGACTTGGAACCTGGTAGATCTGGGTATGATTCTCACCTCTGATATGTGGAACATGTACCCTTGTGGGGTTGTTGTAAGGCTCAAAAGAGATCATTGTTCAGTTGTGTCTGACTCTTGGTGACCCATTTGGGGTTTTCTTGGCAAGGATGCTAGAATGGTTTGCCATTTCCTTCTCCAGTGAACTAGGCTGATAGGTCTGTGAGTGGAGAAGCAGGGGCAGATAAAAGAAATATTGTGGAGGAAGAGTCAGCAGGATTTGGCAACTGACTGGGCATGTGGCTAGGGGATAGTGAAGAATCTAGTCTAAGATGACTCTGAGGTTCCCACCTGGGTGACAGGATGAATGGCAGTGCTCTTAAAAGAAATAGGGAGGTTAGATTTAAGGGCATGAGTCCACAAAGCATTCAGTGGGGGAAA